TGGAACAGGACTGACTCTTTGTGAACAGTAAGCAGGCTACAGGAGATAGAGAGAGACTTAGAGGAGCTGTGAGCTGTGGTTGTGAACGTCCACTCCAGTGTGACGTCTTCGTTCTCCTCTGCCTGATAGGAGCTCTGTGTCACTTTCACTACACATGTTCCTGTTGAGGAGACACACAGGGAAAGTGAGGACCACACTGACTGACAACCTGGATCATTTCTTCTCACTTAGTGGATAATAAACTGACCCCAGACAGAGGAGACCAGGCTGCTGAGCATCAGGATGCAGCAGATCATCTGGTCCTGTGAGAGGAGACACAGGTGAAGAGTCAGAAACACAGGAGGTCACAGTTCCAGGTGGAAGAAGGAAACTCTCCAGTCTGACTTCATTCAGTCATGACAACACCTGATCCTGTTCATCATCCTGTTTGTTACTCACCACTGACCAAAAGCTTTTCTGACAAACGCCACAAACTCTGTGAACTACAACCACTGGTGTCGACTGGCAGATTAGAGACAAACCTACTGGTTGGTGGTCTCTGGAAACACTGGACATTTTAAGGTGTTCGCTGTTTGCAGGAACGTGTTTCTGCCACCAGGTGGCTCCACCTTCACCTGATAAACATCAGGAAACAGATTCTTCTCCTCAGACATCATCAGCTCACTGAGCCTCCACCGACCTACATAAAGACCACATTCAGTCCCACCATGATGTGGTTTATGTTATGTTATAATGGAATCATTGAGGTTTTTCCTACTATCAGCCCACTTTCACTGATACTGGTTATAGAACCAGTTTAACTGGACTCTAACTGGTACTTTTTGTTATTAAATAAACAAGAACAATTAACAGTGCATTATTTTCTCATGCACCATAAAACTGAGTGGCAAAAATGAAACAGCGTTGTTTTTAACAAACCACCTGATTTTAATGTGACTGCTGAAATGTTAAAGGACGTATGGACCACTGCTACGGGCAGCAAACTGTACAGAGAGCTGCTTTAGAGCTCAGGTCTGAGCCCTGTATATTCACACCGGGACCGGTCCAAGCACGTTCACTGAAACATCTGGCAAACACCAAGTGTGATTCAACGAAGTAAATGTTAGAGGTTTGTTTCAAAAATATCAAGTTTCTGTTTTAATTAGAAACAGAACTTTTTGTAGCAATAATAAATAATAAAATAATTTTCTTAATCTCTCCAATAATAAAACCGATGATGGCCCAGCTTATTGACACTATATTTTATAAATCTTTGTCAGTGCACAGCGACCTGACTCGACCTGATGTCCACACACTGACAAACTAGAACACACGCAAAACGTGCAGGTTTAGACACAGACAGATAAATAGATAGATATATAGATAAATAGATGAGACATCATCATCTTCTTACCTGTACAATCATAGTTCCTCAGCAGAGCAGATCACAGTGTCCGACACAGAAACCAGTGCAGATAAATATAGAAATATCCTACATTTTGGTTTAATGTTCACAAGTGTGTAAAGCCCAGTTGTGCAGAGATGCACATCAGGACTGTACTTTGACTCGTCCGTGTCACGATGTGACAAGTCTCAGACAGAGGAACTGCAGAATGGGCGTGTTGTGTTTAGGACCAAAGTCACGATGAGCACATTCATGCGTCCTGGGCCAACTCTTAGAAATCCCCTCATTAGTGGTGACAGGCTGTGTGTGTGATATTTCACTACAATACTTGGATAAAATGCAGGTTATAAAGCAGCAGAAGTAAAGATGGAAGAAGTTTCACTCTGACCAGCTGAGAAACACACAACACATTTCTTTGTCCTGTGTGTGGAGTTTGATTCATCTCACACCAGTTGGTTTAGTGGACTCTTCTGGTCAGACTGGTTTCCTCCATCTCAGCTTTGAAACCCCGCCTGGCTTTTCAGGAACTCTCAGTTTTAGTTTGAACCCCACTGACTTTCCCCTCACACGCACCACGTCTGGATGAGCAACAGGTTGTTTCCTCTAATAATGAATTAATTCATGTGGCATCGAACTCGGCTCCAAACTAGTAACTACATGTACTGTTTGTGTTGTGACAAACACAGATTCAGATCAGAAAGTCGATTCAAAGCAGCGTGAATTTCATATTAACACAGAAAAGCTGCGCCAGGACGCGAGTTTCACAGTTTTCGGTTACAAAGTGACACTAGTGTGCGCGCAGCAGGAGGAATAAACAGTCAGCTTTGTACAAAGACCAGAAGACCAGCCTGCAGAAACGTGTTACACCCAGACTCAGAGACCTTGTTTCCTCTGGGAGGCTGCTTCTTATTCTGGAGGCTCTGACTGCAAACGAGCTGCCTCTGTGGTTTAATGTCATTGTCATGGTTCTGTCCCACCTGTTTCCGTTCTTGTGCTTTTATTTTGACATTACTTCCTCTTTCTGTTTCACCTTAGTTTAGGACTTTTTACTTTCATCAGCACTCAATTGGTTCCACCTGTTTTCACCCAGTTATAAGCAGCTTTCCCTCCACCAGAAAGCTGCCCTGTTGTTGACTCCGTGCAGACTTTCCAGTGTTATCCTTGTATTTGTGATTCTTGTTTCTGACCCCGGATTCTTTCTGACCACCGATTTC